AGTGATTGACCACGAATGCAACCTCGTCCATCTACCCTCCCATCTCCATGGTAACCTTTCGGGCAAACACACCTAAAAGTCCCTTCTTCGTTTTGACAATATCGGTCCTTTTCACATTTGTTGAGACTTGAATTTTTACATTCATCAATATCTGCATAACAAAAATAACAATATGAAAGAAAGCGGAGTTAAAATCTTAAAGGGAAAGAAAAAGTGAATTTAAAATCTTAAAAGACACATGGCTAAACAATTCAATGAGAGAATGATATGATGTATTTCTAGATAATACACAGGAAATCGAACTTTAATACCTTTACAACCATCATTGTCACTGAGGTATGGATTTCCTTCATAACCCTCTGAACAATAACAACGATACCCATTATCAGTTTCATTACAATTGGAATTCGTGCTTTTACATGCATAACTAGACATGTCCTTCTGAGATTCCTCACATGTTCCTCCGTCAATTGCCCAGTCAACCACCATGGGAAGCATCTCTACATTCATCAGACTTGAAAGTTTATTTGGAGAAAAAGTGAATGCACTTTTCTCAGCAAGAAATGCATAGCTGCAATTATTGAAGTCCCAAACAGTGGAGTGATTATCATCATAGCTCTTTGTGAAATTATCATAGCTGTTCAACGTCAAATTAACTTGGCTAACCCCTTTTGGGATAGACGTCTGGCAACAGCCTACACCGGAACATGACCCGTCATCCAGATTTTCCTTGCTGAAACACCGGGAAGTGCACCCTGTCTCGTAATAATTCTGGTTAATCCATTCCCCGTATACAAAAGCATAAGTATCACAACCAACAACAGTGAACTTATTGGCTGTATTATTGACTGTGAATTCTTCGAAGGTTATATAGGGTTCATTAGAGTGTACTATGGTGCCATTCCTAGCATAACAGGCTTTCGCTATGAATTGCAACACAGTCAATTGACCCTCCAGGGATATGTTTTTGATTTCTATGTTTGAGTTTGTCAAGAATGGTTTAGGAGGATGATAGTGAGTGTCATTACAAGTGACTAAGAATGTTTCACTAAGGTAACAACCTTCCCTTGTGCCGAAAGGGAAGGGAATACTTGCATCTCCACAATAATCAGTGCAGTTGGGCTTAGCTATTGGGAAATTATTTTGTGTAGAAACTGATTTTGAGACAAAAATAGGCAGCACTGCTAGAAAGAAGTGGGCTTGCAGCAAAAGCATATGCAATCCCATGGTGAATTACAACCCAAGCATTGTACAAACACTTGTTTGCAAGATGATTTCTTATATAGAACCTTTTTGGGCCCCATTAAAAGGTGAAGAATGTATTTTGGAATTGTAAATTGATGAAAAATGTTTGGTTAAAAAATAAAAAAAATTTTTGAGTTTGCGTGTAATATTATTTTATTGAAGGATTTGTAGTTGAAAAAAAAGAAAAAAAAATGTATTTAAAAAAAAATGGAATCAATTTGTAAGCCTTTGGCTAAGTCAATCAACATCTTATCTCGACTAAAAAAGTCTCCTTTGGAAGTGTTTTAAGGGGCAATGTTTTCATTATCTAAAATACTCCAATCATATTACATGTACATCATTATTTAGATTGTGGCACATGGCCACACACCATTGAACTGTTTAAAAAAAATACTTTTCCCGCTCACAATTTTTTTAAAAACAAATGAGATGTCAAACACAATGTAAGCCATTGAATATACATTTATAGAGATGGCAAAAAAAACCGCCCCACCCCGCCCCGAATGGGGCGAAAAA